TTTTTTTATATTTGAAATGCATGCCAACAAATATGTAAAACACAAGTGTATACATTTTCCAACTTATATCAACCTTTGTCAACTTTTTACCAGTTTATCCCAAGTTTTTGTTTTTGTTTTGTTTTTTTCTTTGAAAATCTGCATAAATATATACGTATGAGGCACAAGCGTAAGCATGTGGAATAATTTAAGAACTTTTTCTCATTTCCTGCCTCACACTTAACCATAGTCGCGCAATGACATCGATGGAGCTTTGGGTAAATATCAAGAAATCGCTGCGACAGAACCGGACATCCCAGAATTGTGGAATAATATTGGATTGTGTTTCTTCAAAAAGAAGCAACAAAAAATTATTGCGGTAAGTAAGGAGGTGTTAAAGAGACGGAAAAAGAATGTACAAATACGGTGTAGAAAGTGTGTGTAACGGTTGCGAAAAAGGACCGGTATGCTTATATGTGCATACATACATACATACATATAGATATTTGCATAAGTCCGCATGTAAGAAATATTAAATTTTCAGCATGAATGTTGTTAGCTTGTTCATGAGCAGGCATCCAGCGGAGAGTAGTTTGCTTAAGACTTACATACACATTAGGGTGGTCCATTTTTTCCTTCAGCCACCCTAAGAATTGCAGAATATTGAAAATTTAAAGATCCCTTTTTTTTAATTGAAATTGACTGACATTTAATGGTGCTGCACAGTGGTCGTAGGAGCCATGTTTTACGCGAAAAAGGCATATTTTAAAACTGTGACAAATTAATTGGAATAAAAATATTTTATTTAGAAATGTCCAACGCACTCAAAACTGACTTGCTGAGCAAGCCGTTGAATCCGTTTAATTCAACGTTTTCTATCGTGACACGTTGTAACAGTTATAAGTTGATAGCACGGCTAATTTTGCAAGAAATATTTTCTTCAAAAATAATAATTTGATCATAAATTTATTTTAGATATGCCCCCTCGTATATAGTAAATCAAATTTTGCTAAGTAAATATAGTGTGTTACTCAACTGAAAATGACAGTTCGTTTGACAGTTTTCTACCGAAAAAGTTTTAATATGGTACACTGAACTCAATATCAGTGAGCCTTAAACATAAATAGTACATTCTTGGAAATTTTTCCTTTTTTCTAGAGACATTGACAGCCTCTAGGACAGTTGTGAACTCTTAAGGTTTTAATTTGACGTAAATTCGTGACTAGCGTGTCTGAAACCCTCATCAGTAGCATCTTATTTGTAGAAAAATTAACAGTTTATTTGACAGCTGTCAACGCTCAAAGTTTTAATTAGACATCCAATTTGTGATCAGCGTGTCTAAAAACCTAATCAGTGGCCTTTTTAAAAATATTGTCTTATTATTAGAAAAATTCACAGTCAATTTGACAGCTGTCAACTCACAAAATTTTAATATGACATAAAATTCCTAATCAGCTCGTCTAAAAACCTAATCATTGGCATTTTTTTTTTTAATTGTCTTATTATTAGAAAAATTCACCGTTCATTTGACAGCTGTCAACTGTCAAGGGTTTGATTTGACACAAAATTCGTGGTCAGCATGTCAAAGAAACGTAATCAGCGGTATTTTAAAAATTTTTTCTTAATTTTACAGAAATTGGCTGTTGATTTGACAGCTGTTAACTGTCAAACTATACATTTTATGGTATATTCGGATTTAACATGACAACGATACTAGGATCCCGCAGTTTTATTATAATTGTAAGAGCCCTGCTAATTTTTCGCGTAAAACATGGCTTCTCCGACCACTGCGTGCCGCCAGGGAAATGTTTCCTTTGTATTTTATATGAAGAAAATGCATTTTTTCATAGAACTGCTACAAAATCTTTAAAAACAAATTTTTTTGATCGAATCAGAATATTACTCTTAAGAATATTTTTTTTTTAAGACTTCTGAAGGGAAGTATTCTCATTCGAAAAAAAGTCGAAAAAGGGATTTTTTCCCTATATAAAATACATGTAAGACTTCATGGGCATTGAGGCAGTTCTAAATAACATTTTTTTTAACAAAAAAATACCTGTATTATTTTTTCCATTTAGAAAACTCCTTTAAACTTGTATTTTGGACCACCATAATGTACATACTGCGTACAGGCAAAAAGTGTTTTACATGTTTTTATTTCGAATAAATTTTGAATAAATAATTTTATCGCTGCGCATCAGGAACTAAATCGCCCACTGTTGTGCGGAATGCAAATAAGAATTCTTTATAGGATACGAGTGTACCGCAATGCAGACAGAGAGCATAAGAAATTATTAAAGTGTCAATTAGAGAAAGTATTTATAAATATATGTATAGATTCATATCTATAAATGTATACAGTAAAAAAATTGAAATTATTCTAGCAAAAAAAATCTCCATTTCACAAAAAAAATTGTAAACTGCTTTTTCTTGAAGATCCTCGCTAGACAAGTTTACGAAGGTATCACGACTATCAAAAACGACTGAAAATAAAAGAAAGTTATTAGTAGTATACTCGATTTATTTTTTTAAATCCTCAGTTAAACAATTTTTACAATTTCCTGATTGTTTGCAAATCGGCGTCATTTTTTTTTTTAATTGTAATCTATTTTTTTAGCTTTCTTAACTGCTTTGTTACTTTTATTTTTGTTTTCAGGCAATTTCTTCTCTACGTAAATCCATCTGGCTTTCTCCGCTGAATTATAATGCTCTCTATAATTTGAGTTTGATTTATATAACTGGTGAGTACGATAACAAATTTCCATACATTTTATGAAGATTTATCGGAATGGATTACATATTTATTTTTTTACATCTTCAATACTCTAAAATTTATCACAAAAATTAAAAAGGCAACTAAGCAAAATTTTCGAGCCAGCCGGCTTTTGATAACCGGTTTCGTCGCGGTTTTCCTTAATGCCATTTCATGCGTTCCGGTCCAGGGTGGTGTTTTCCTCTTCTCTACATTTACCATTTAAATGGCTTTAAGCATAGTCTAAAGTGATTGGTTTTACCAGTGTTATCTGAATACAGCGGTAAGGACCAGATGCAATTTTTAGTCTGAGCGCCAAAAATAAGAGTTGAGGTTTTAAATACACCCAATTCAGCCTGGGCCAGAAGGACCATGAACTTGCCCATGTCTTAGTTTTATCCCTAAGTTGAAATGACGTGGACCCATCTTTCCCTTTCTTCCTTAGCCGCCTTCCTTCTTTCCTTATTGGCATCACATTCTTCAACATTATATTTAATGCTTCTTTAACGGCAGCCAATACTGCCGGAAAAACGCCACAGAATTCAAGAAGCCTAAGCTTGACATTAACGGAGAGTATACAGCAAAAAACCCCCATCATGAATCCTTCTATCCAGGTTCGACCCATCCGTGAAAAGGTTCAATACACAATCCCTCCAGGCACGTCGCCGCACCCGCAATATAATCACTAAAAAAAAATTCAGTGTAATGCAGAAAAACAATATGACTATCAAATTAAAGGGAAAATTGTAGAATTAAACCCAATTAAATTTTTTGGTGCATAAGGACGATTAGTTATTGAAAATGTCCTTTTAACATTTTATCATTGAATATCATTGAAATTTTACAATAATTATTTACGAAAAAATTATATGTTAAGGACTAATTGCACTCGCCCACATCCCGGAATTTCGTCCTTCTAACTTTATTTGCTAAAAAAAATAAAACTAATTATAAGGAAATTTTCAATGCCTTTTCGTTCTCTTTCCTTTGGTACCCATACCGTTTTTCTACATTGGAATGAATTTTTTAAATAATTTTTGGAATGAATCATATCTTTGAAACTATAAAGTCTTTTTAAAAAAATCCTCACATCAGAGAGAAAAACTAAAAACGCAGGTTTACTATATTTGGCCCACAGTTTCGTTGGTATATTGACTGCTTCATGTGTTTGGAAATTTTTTTGTTTTTCTCGCACGGTGAAATCAGCTAATTTTGCTTCATCACTTACTTATAATGCCACTTTTTAACCGATTACATGACTTATTCATAAAGCTGATTTCAGGCGAAAGCATAAGCCTATACCATTTTAGCTCCCTATGCAAGAATAGACGAAGTATTTGTAACGCATGTGCCTAGATGTGTACATATGTATGTACAATGTATATTTTTTATGAATGCTCATTCATTAAAACCCAATATACTTGGCTGCCTAATTTGAAAAAATTAGTTACTGCATATCTACGTACAATCATTTCTCCATTTTTTTGCCAATCAATATTAACAAATATTTAATGCCTACTTTCCACACCTTTGAACAGGCTACAGTGATTTACTTGGGTCGATTGTTGCTTTACCCTGAAATTTTTCATTATGTGTAACTTTCAATGTACATCATTTTATTATAAGCAACATCAATGGCAATGCCGTCGTCAAAGGTAATCACAATCATTATCAACACATCCTGTTTGGTAGCCATGACATTCCTCTCGATGTGGTCTTTATATTGGTCCCAATTGATTTGGGTGGACAAATAAAATATATCGTATACATACTAGGAATGTTAATCCCGCGATTCCGGTCTTTTTAAGGTCACAAAAATCCCGGGATTGGTGGGAAATAGTCCCGGGATTTTAGAAACTCCTTTTCTTGACCAGTATTGGCTATATTTTTTTTTTTATTTAATAATTAATTTTTTTTTATAAATGTCTAGCCAATTATACATATAACACCGCGCGATAGTCAATTTTAAACACAAATATCAATATATTCGCGAAACCATGGGCCAAATATAGTAAAATTGCGTTTTTAGTCAGTAATTCAAAAATGATTTAAAAACTTAAAAGAAATATGCTTGGAGAAGAAGTATGGGTATCAAATTAAAGAGGAACTCCTGTAGAATTTAAACAGATTCAAGTTTTTGGTGCAGAAGTACTGGTAAGTATGGAAAATGTCATTTTCAAATTTTATCCGTGAAATTTCGTAATACATATTTGTTTTTGAAAAAAATTATATGTTAAGGACATATATAAACTAGATAACACCCTCGAATTTATCAGCTTAAAAAATTAACTATTCGTCCTTGTAAATCAAAACAAATTTTAATTTTTTTAAATTCTAAAGAAAATTCTTCTTGCATTTAGTATCCATATTTTTATCATACATTGCATTGAATTTTTTAAATAATTTTTGGAATTAATCATACCTTTGAAATAACAAAGTACTTTAAAATAAATCCTGACGGCAGAGAGAAGAAATAAGAATGCCACTTTAAATAAAAAAGTAGGTTTCACACCCATTTATTTATTATTTATTTTATGGTAGGAGAAATTCTCAAACAATATAGAAGCAATTTTTCTCGATTTAAGTTGTTGAAAAGTAATGAATATCTAAATCTCGGGATTCCGGGATACCGAAAATCCCGGGATCGGAAAAAGCTGAAAAATTAACATCCCTAATATATACATATGTGTTTATCCACACATTTATTTGTATATACTTACATATCCGTATATTTGCTTTATAGTACACACAAACGTTCTTTTTATGTTTATAAAAAAGTATCGTCGATATTCTTTTCAAGTTTATCCTATTTGTATAGAAATGTATGTGTTTTCATGTAGAAAACTTACAGCATTGCACGCACGAGTTGTCAATTTTTGCATTTTAACCTTTAAATTCGCTATTATTGCGTATATGTACGTTAGGGTGACCCAAAAATACACAGGAAAATAAATTTTTGGAATCCTGTTTCTGCAACCCCCATAGAATTAAAAAAAAGGAAAATAAATTGACCTGTATTTTTTACTTTGCCCCCGGGGCTTAGTATAAAAATATTTTCCTTCAGAAATTTTCCAACAGTAGAATTGTGATTCAAACTTAACTCATAACATTTTACGAACTATTTTCCCAAGACGTCGAACACAATATGCTAAAGTTTAATTTGCATTCCGTTTTTTTTTGTTTGAAGATTCCCGAAGAGTAATATTTTTAACCGATTTCCAAAAAAGGAGGAGGTTATCAGTTCGTCGGAATATTTTATTTTTATTTTTTATTACTTTTTTGTTTATGTATGTTACCGCATAACTTTGGACCACATCAACCGATTTCGATAATTCTTTTTGCATCGGAAAGGTAGTGTCTCAGAGGTGGTTAAGATCCGATCAGTGGATCATGAGATATATATATATATATTTTTTTTTTATATGGGAGTTGAAGTCGTTTTTTTTTTGCTAAAAATTACTTGTTATTTGATCAAATAGAATTTATTTTTAAGGCATTTATAGCTACATATTCTAAGAAAAACTTTATTTTCCCCAAATGAAAAACATGGAAAACTTCAAAGCCATGGTTAACCGATTTTAATATGCAAAAATAGTTTCTTTATTTCCCACGTTCTTCAGTTCTGGAGGTCTCTGGAAACAAAAGTTTTCAACGCCCTAATGTGTGTATGTATAATTGCTTCAAATCTTTGTGAATTTGTTAAGCAAAACTTTTCATATTGAAAATGCAAAATATTTACATACCTATACATGTAAGTAGTGTGTATGTGGATGTGTCTTTTTCCTGGTTTTCATATATAGCACCTTATTTTGTATTTTATAGCTTAGACATACGGCACCGTTAATCCGGATTAACGACGCTGCTGCTCCGAACCAAATTGGTCGCTGATAGACGGCAGCAAAGTGGATTAAGCGCGCCGCGACTTCGTGGCTTTTTATACCACAGGCAGCTGAATTTTCATTTAGTTTTTTTATTCATTCAACTATTACTTTTATTTTTTATTTTTTATTTGCTATGGAAAATTAACTCTAAAAATTTAATTTAACTTATAATAAAATAAGTAGTAATGTGAAATAAAAAGAAATAAATAAAAAGTATAAATAAAATAAAAAATGTCAATAAAATAAAACTACAAATAAAAGAAGAAGTTATACATAAACTTATATAATCGCTTGGAATGAGGTTCGAAACTCTGTCGTATCGAATTGTAGTATGCCGCTCTCAACACTCGGTTACTGCGGACGCCAAACTCATTTTCTTTGTTTAAGTACTTACTTGTTTGCTTCGTTTATTAATCGTTCACAAACGACAACAGCTGCATGTTTTGGTCAGTGTTGTCATCGAAAATGCCCCTGTTCCGCATAAATTTTGACTTAATCCGGATCAACTGTAGTTGATTGCTGAGATAATTCGAAATTAACGAGTAGATCGCGATCAACGCTGTCGTCTGTCTATGCTTTTACTAACATAAATACATATCTGTGAATTTCTGCGCAGTACCTTTGGGAATTTAATTTACCATTTTGACGTCCGTTGCAGAGTTCAAATAAGTTTTTTTCCTAAAAGCTTTTGAAAATGTCGATGATTTTGCTTCATATTAGCTGTGGTGATTTTTGAATAGTGACCTTTGTATGGATTTCCATATAACCATGTGCATTGGTTTTTGGTTGATTAATACCCAATCGGAAAAATTAGAATAAATGAGGCCTTCTAGGAGCTGCTATTTCTGAAATTTTGAAATTATAATTCTATAGGGCTCGATTTATTTGAAACGGACAGAGTTTCAAGGCCTTCGGATTCAAGGTCTTAGAAGGCGATAATTTACTTTAAATAATAATGCCACCGTTCAGGTTCAACTCACCGACATGCCTAATGCGATTTTTTCTTGTATTGGACCTTCTTTGCTTTGTCTGCCTCCGGATAGCATTGCTATTGGTAATATAGCTTCCAAAGAGAAGGACCCTCGTCCTGAAAGCGTTTATTTAGAATCGCTCCACATTTTGACAACTGGGTAATGATTTGTTTAGTTCAAAATATACATATGTACATATGTTTGAAGATGTAAGTATCTCCACCGCAACTGCAAGTATTTTCCTATTTACCCAAACACGCTTGAATACACAAGCGACGGATACAAATAGTTAGGTAAATCCGAGTTTTACTTTGCATAAATAAAATACCTGAATGCTGCATAAATATTGCCTGGCGTTGTTTATCGATTGCGGTCTTCTGCATTGATTAAATATGACGATTGCAAAACTAACAATAGACTTTTATATAGAAAAAGGATGATGATGATGACCTTAATACTTAGATAAGCATGATTGGGCTTCATGAAGTATTCAAAAGAAGAATATGCAAATTTTCTTCTAATAAGTAGCTGTTTAAAGCCACTTTTCTACTTAAATATACTTGCATAATTCATTTTTCATTTCATTTTTGGGAGGGTATATTCTGCGTTGCAACAATTCTAAAACTTGCGTGCAGCCCATCAGTCCTCCTCGCCTCAATGCTAACCTGCTAAAGTTCCTTACTCCACCAGAAAGGCAGACAGATTTTCTAAAACGCGGTCAGTCTGTTTTTCTCAAATTTCGTCTTAGCGCAGAGCATTTAGAATTTTCATAAAGTTTTAATTCGATGTAACAGAGGGCGCATTCTTGCTGACCACTAGACCTAAGGTCCAAATAGGGTAGGATTTCTTCCTGCATTGCACCTGCGGTTGTAACGGATTTATTTTTGAGCAACACAACCAATATTTCGGTTATCGCAGTCTTCTAACAGCACAGCCACCTTCCGCATAAGTTGGTGGTTGGCAATAGAGGGTCATGTGGAAAGTAAGCAGAGGTCCTTGAAGCTCAGCCTTGCAGCAAACAAATTATGACAACGTAAGCTCTCGAACTGACCGTGTTTACGACGGTTAGGATGACCATTTCAAGCTATGGCTGTTAGCACTAAGCGTATATATCCCTCAGCCGCAGGCGGCTTTCCGCCATTTCTCTGCCGAAAAGCTCAGTAGGAAACAGAGCCAGAATGACGCAAGAAGCCACATTTATTGAGACCGGGTGGTTCCGCGCCTAGCTTCCTTTCATCGACATACAAGTGAGGTAGGTCTTTTCTGCACAAACTCCCGCCACGCACGCGTTTATTGTAGCAGGGATAACACCTGTTCGAGAGTTATTGTCACATTTTGCGAGAATATCGGGGCAGGCAATAATAGGCAAAGCCGCCAGACTGCTTATTTGCTCCTCGTGTGCGAAAGCTTTTGCATGCCACCGGAGCCCATTGGTTTCGGTTGATCCAACTTTCGTTGACCGTGGTTCTTAGAAGATGCAGCAGCAGGAGTACTATCGGCAACCTCATAGGGTCATGTCTTCTACCTGCGTTTCGACACCAAGATAAGTTGGTATTGAAATTGGGCCAAAATTGGACGGTAGTAATGCCCACTTCCCATATAACAGTAATCTACAGAAATACGGAAACTGCGATTAGTCAGTAAATAACGAAGCCATTTTCCTTAAAATCGATGTTTGCAAGAAAGTATTTAAAATGGGGGGAAAACATCCCTGCTTATCATATCGTTTACAGATAGGTGAAAAGCAACACTTATAACGTGCGCCGCCGGGTACATAAAAGTTCGGTTTAGCCCGAACTTATAGTTCTTTGCTCGTTTAAAGTACAAAATGGGTTCAAAGCAATTCACATTTCTATCTATCTTGCTCGCTCTTAGTTTCCTAATCGTAGCGTACAAAAGACAGTCAAAAATCTAGTTGCCGCTTCGGGTATTCGAAAAAAAAACTTGAACAACCAAAAAATTACATTTAGAATGATGAAAAGCTTTCGAATGCTTCTGATCAAGGGATGAAATTAAAACGATTAAATCTTTTTTTTTTTTTTGTACTCTAACGGACATTTCAAATCATAATTTGTGTCTTTAAATTTCATTTTAATATTTGAATTAAATGTAAAATTTTTTTTAGTATTTTTCACTCTTTCTTTTTACGTCTCCTATTTAACCTCAATGTAGCGCAACAATACGCCAGTGCCTTTCATACGCTTGCAGCAGCCATCAACTTGCGTAAGGACAGCGCCGAATGCTATATGCTGCTCGGAAGTAAGTAACTTTCTATAGATATGTACATTCATATGTATGTGTGTAGGCACATTAGACTGTGTCCAGTAAAACGAAAGTTTTTTTCTTTCGGCAAAATTTCAGCCCTCTATCTTCATTTTTCAGTTAGTTTTTTAGTAAACAATTAAATATAACAAATAAACTAAAAACAACCTTGCAGGCCATTTAATTCTAGTACAGCAAATGCACGTTGGAAGTAGCTAGCACTTACGGTTGTTTTTTTGAGCCGAAAGAAAAAAAAACGATTCGTTTCACTAGAAGTAAGAATGTGTGTGTATGTTAAATACATACTTAGATATACTAAGGATAAGCTTCCTTGTGTTGGCTGTTTGTAGTGACGTTTTGTCTTTAGTGCAATTATCAGGCCAGCCAACGCCAGGAACAATGGCTTAAAGGCGCTCTATACATATTTATGTATGTACATATACATATGTATATTCATATACGTACATAGGTATATAAATACGCGCCCACAAGTACTTTTCATAACCGCTAACCGGAAGTCCTGCGGCCCACAATTGTACTATATAAGTGTTAATTGTGGCGCGAATCAACCCACCCGCTAACGTCTTGCCTGCTTCCAAGCTAAGTGTGCACTTAAGAATGCACCGCGAGCTGAAAAAAGTTCGAACAAAAACCGAAACCAAAGGAAGAGCTTTTCTGCACTTTTGCCAATTGACATTGCTATGTATTTATGCGCATACTGTACATAGGTAAAAAAAAATGTAGGATATGTTCAATAATAAACGCGCGAGTTTACATATTACGGTGGCCCTTAAAATATATTAATTTGTTCCACGCACAAAATATGATATCCACAAAAATTACAAAATTATTATTTTTTAAATCGCCAAAATTCAGCACATTTTGACTTCGATCAGCTATAACTTAACAGGTTTATAAATAAATTTCAACAATATTTAAAATATAACAAGGCTTAAGTAAAGATTTTGTCGAAATTTCGCGATGAAAAAATGTGCCACTTCATTTCGCATGAACCCATTATGTCGAGGTACCCAAATGAGGTACACCCTAGTGTTAGAAGCATCGTCTTCCAAAATGTATCTATGTATATACATCGATTTGTTGTTTTGTCTCCTCACTTTCTATACACTAGAGCGATCTGGATTGTATGCCACAGACCAATGTTTAAAGTAGAAATACGTATACCAAATAGAGCCACCCCTTCGGAGTTTTGGGCGTTGATTATCCAGTTTTTTCTATTTAAGGAAAATTTCCTTGTAGTTTTGAGTGAAGTTTAACCTCGAAAGGCACAGGTCTACATAGATGATACCCCAGTGTAATAAAAAAAATAGTAATAGAGTTTGCATGGCTCAAGTCTTCATCTATAACATAAAAATCACAACCAGTAGGGGGGTCCTAAAAATATGAACATCTACATTTTGTATAACTTTCGTACAAAACAAAGACGTAATTTATAGGCCGCTACCAGGGTTTAAAAAAAACTATTTTTTTTTAAAACATTGCAAAAATTCTACAAAGTTTCGACTGAAATTCTGATATATGTACTTATTACTGCAATGTAAAATTTTGGCGCTACCAAAGGAACCTTGCTGATAGCGCAAGCAGTCGACGGCGTCAATATTTTTGGACAGTTTTTTAAATAATCCGGCACGGTGACAGAAATAACCAATTGAGTTAAAAGCTTTACCATCTTATTTAAAGAAGCTACTGGGCTCCAGGGCCTACTTTCAATCTCTCACTTTGTATCATGTACGCCACCACGATATATGTAGCTTATATTTTGCACCAATTTATTTTATGAAGCATATTTCGCACTTTCCAAATATGTACATAACTGCTTTTCGTTCTAACATTCTCCATTTTCAATTTCTGCCGCAAAAAAAAAATGACACCAACCTAACACCCGACTACCATCACTCGCCAACAAAACTCTACCCGATACGAATTGACAATCGATTGCAGTTTGCTTGCGTAAGTTAGAGGATGGCGATAATGCGTTTAAGGCATTTCAGCGCTCTAACGAAATTCAACTGCAACAACAAAAGGATGCCGGACGTAATCCACTTGTGCACTTAAACTATGCCCTCTTCTGCTATGAGACCGGTCGTATTGCGCTTGCGACAGAGCAATTTACACGTTTTGTTAGCTCGTCAAAGGATCTTCTGTTACCGACGGAAGTAAGTTTGGTGCAATTACAAAAAGCACAATGGGCTTATGCGGTGAGGAATTGGCGTTGATAATGTACTGTTGTTGTGGTTGCAAGTGCAGCTGCAGTAACATTGGCAAAAGGCCCTACATACATACACAAATATACATACATGTACATTATTGGTTCGTTACTTGACAATTTGGCATCCAGATTTCGTTCAAAAACATTCAACCTTCTCATTCCAGTGAAGATAACAACGCTAGTTTTGTTTGGCGTATTGGAAAGTCCATTTCCACCATACCAAGTGCTTAACCTTGAAACTTTCAAATAGTTTTTTTTTTTTTTTAAATTAAAATATATGTAAGGGAGTATTTAATATGTACACTTCGTACCCTCGAATTTCGTCTATTTAGCATTATTAGTTTAGGATACAAAAGTTAATTAAAAAGCCATTTGCAATAACTATTCGTCCTTGTGAATCTAAACAATTTTATTATTATTAAAGCTACAAAATTTGCACTTTCATTTGCTACACATACTATTGCACTGAATTTAAGTACTTTATTTTTCAATGAATGAATGAATAAGATTCAAAAGTCCTTTTAAAAAATTTTGACTTCAGTGAGTGTATAAATTTTTTCGTGTTTTAAAATTTTCTTAGTTTTTGTCACATGTTGTAATTGTTTTTTGAGAAGTTGTACATGAATTGTAGGATTTACTTTGTTGGCCATACTAGTATGTAGTAATTGCAATTTAAAATATACATAGGTACGTATCGATACTAGGATGCCACGACAAAAAAGTGGCTGCTTCCACAAATGATTCATAACACTTTTGGTGTGTAAATATTTCTCATTGCTCTAAATTTTAGGTAAACTGTCACGCGTAAAACACGACGAATTTAAAAAAAATCTAATCAGCTGTTCTAGCAACACTGCTCGTTGATATAGTTCGGGAATATTTCGGGATCATTTCGGGACACATATCTATGTTTACATGCGTATCTTATACTCACGCCTTTTTTTATATATCGCGCCCTACTGCCCTAACCGCCACAAATATCAAAGCGATTTTTGTTTTTTAATTTTCTCTTCGATGCAGAAATATTCCTAAAGCATCTAGATGCATTTGTGCATCAAAAATAAAAATAAAAAAAAAGTCGAACGTCATAACTAAAACATCAAAAAAAAAAGACCCTTAAACAAAAATAATAAAAAAAAACATTAAAGAAATATGTATGTATGTACATTCGACTGCATCACTCCCCATACAAAAAAAAATCGGTACTGTTTTTCCATTTTTTTAAGAGTTCCACCAAAATATCTCGAAAAAATATTAAGATTTACGTGAGATGGACCGATATGAAAAAATTAGTTTTCTATTAATAAAAACAGTTTTTTTTTAAATATTTTTTGAAAAAAATTCCTTCAGTTGACTAAACAGTTTAAGCTTAAAAAAAATGTTATATAAATATTAAAAATATTAAATAAAAAAATTGTAAATTTCAACTGAATCGTAATTATGAGATTTTTGATGCTGTTTTTGAACTTTTTTCAAAGACTGGTTTAAGATAAACTTGAATAACTCAGCCAAATCCTTACCAATTTAGACTTATGAGGTATCATTGGTAAGATATTTTCTTACCCTTTTAATTTCTTTGCGAATAAGCTCTTACATAAATCTCATTATTATGATTCCGTTGTAAACCTTTTTAATATTTTTTTGTAGATTTTTTAAGCTTAAACTGATTGGTCATCTGAGGATATTTTTTCCAAAAAATCATTTAAGAAACTATTTTCATTCATAAAACACTCCATTTTTAGTGGTATTTTCAAACCGGTCCAGCTCACCTAAATCTTAAGAGGTCTAAAATATACTAATAAAATTTTGTAATCCCGCCGGAAAAACCGCATTTTTTTTTTGGTGATGCAGTCTAATGTACATATGTATTTATGTATATTTATAAAATATAATCGTAAACTTTAATCCACAAAACAAAGTTGTCATCAAACCTTAATTTGGTTCCTGACTTTGGTGGTATGAGTGGTTGCTTTCTAGTTTTAGAAAACTCCCAAATTACGTCATTCTTCTTCTGGCAGTAAGCCATATTGTAATAAGATACATGTGGGCACATCGTAATGTACACATCTATTAGTAGTTTGCAACTAAGTTTGGGCCAAGTTCTAATTGCCTGACATTGGTATTAGCAAACTTTTTCTGTTATAATGTTATTTGGCTCATTTTAAAACTGTACAAATCTTTACTATGCACGTATGTATGTATGTATGTAGGTTTGCCCGTATTTCAATTAAATTTAGTATGTATGTAGTTATAGAGCAATTTGTGGTAGTGCATATGTACATATGTATGTATGTACTGTAAGAATGTACTGTTTCACATAAAAAAGCACCAGCGCTATTGTTATTTACAAGTAAATGTAGTTGTAGTTGTAGTTGTATTTGTATGTAGTTGTAGTCACTATGTAAATGTAGATGGTATTTAATTACTTGTTGGTAACGGTGAAGGCTTATACTGAAATTAATGTCAACTAATTATGTATGTATGCATGTACCTGGTTTACACTAACTTACACTTTCGAACGGCTGTAGATGCATTTAAATGCCAATTAATACATGCCATTGTGTAAATAATCAGATTATTTAAAGCTGATTTTCATTAATGATAATTTGAAAACACACATACAGTATCGGTCATATCTATAGCACGCCATTTCAAAGTGATATTGTGTGCCACTTATGTTTTTTTATTTATTTTTAAGAATTTTCAATTAAAATACAGTTCTTTCTCTAACAAACCCCATATAAACCCAAGTTTAACAATTTGTAGAAAACTTCAAAAAAGTGCAACAAATTTTCACCTAAGTTTCAAACTTTTTTCTCGGAAGCGTTAGAATTTTTTCGAGTACACAGTTTTTTAGCTACTGCAATTTTAGTCTGATAATGTGCAAATGTCAAGTGGCTACGATTTACCGTTAATTTTTTAGAATTTTTTTTGTCACATTGGCTTCCATATAATGAATAAACTCAATTTATTTGTATATGGAAGAAATCCGCAACACCTTTGGCGAAAAAAATTCTAAAAAATCAACGGTAACTTTTAGCAACTTGAAACTTGCACATTATCAGACTAAAATTGGTTGGGCTATAAAACTGTGTATTCAGAAAAATTCAAACACTTCTGAGAAAAAAGTTTGAAATTTAGGTGAAAATTTGTTGCACTTTTTTGAAGTTTTCTACAAATTGTTAAACTTGTTTTTATATGGGGTTTGTTAGAGAAAGAACTGTATTTTAATTGAAAATTCTCAAAAATACATAAATAAACATACGTTGCACACAATATCACTTTGAAATGGCGTGCTATAGATATGACCGATACTGTAATTGCATTTTTTGTAATTTTAATAAACACACACATACATACATATCTCAAAATGAAATTATTTTAAATTATGTAAAATTCGTTATTTAACATTTTAACTGGAACTGGTTATTTCAATTTTGACGCTTTTAATTAAAACTTTTACACCCTAAAGTGGCGAATAGTTGATTTTGGCATTTCTGGGTTTAAGTACAATGGAATTTAAAATACGTTATTAAAAACTTGCATAATAATAAAGCAAACACAAAATTTACACACTTGAAACAAAATATTTTTCAATACACAGGGAGTATTATCAAGGCACATTAAACAGGTAGTATCAGTAGAGCAAAAACAACATTTGCGTGTATTTTGTTGTTGCTTCTGGTATCGAAAGTGTCAAAAACTGTTCTGAATTTTTTCTTCTAAATCTATGTTATGCAGTTTACCAGATCATTTGCGTAGCCTTGTGTTGCATAGCCTTGGATGTTCAGTGTCCAAAGAAGTTACTCTATAACCATAGTCCACAAGAGGGGAAAGTTTACGCCCTTTTGAGGGCATTCCTTTGTGGCTGTTGTCGATTCTGTCCTGTCTCTTAATTCTATACTGATGTTTTGGTATTCTTAATATTGACAACTCTCATTGATTTGTGGTTTGGGTTACACCATTGCATAACAAGGCATCTTTTATTGCCTTAACTATATCATATGCTATCGAAAGCCCCTGAAATATCAATGAAGGCGCAAAGGACTTTAACTGGTTCTTTTTCAGAGTGGATGAGGCAACCGAACACTCTTTGTGTTCCTGCCCCGCCTTTGTAAGGATGAGTTATGTGGGCTTTGCTCCGATTTATTCGTAAAGTAGAGTTACAACAGATTAAGAGAAATTTGTACTCAGTACAATGGGCGCACTGCGCATTGTTTTGTGTATTTTGTTCCGAACAAGAAAAAAAAAAAAACATTATAAAAAACAATTTGGTAGTTTTCGCGTACTTTTTTCCAGTTAAGTGTTCGGCCTTTGAAGCTTAAATTGACAGCTTTTGCAACTTAAAGAACAAACTTTTCAGCCCTTCATAAATTATAGGCACCAAAAGATATTAAGACAATAAAAATTAGCTTTAAGTGACTAGCCACATTCCAGCGCAGAAAGTTTTAACTTTGTTACATTTTGATTGAGTTTAAATTGACCTTGAAAAAGTTTATAGGTCCTTGTGAACATATGACTGTTCGCAGGACATCCGCATGCTGGAGCTGTATGCACTAGTAACTAGGAAGGAGTATCCATGTGTATGCACATATACATATACTTACCGAGAATAACAATTTATCAACCGTTTGCTTTCAGTGCTTCAATGTGTTTACTTTCGGAATATTCGTTTTTTTGACACACATGCACACATTCTTACATACTTATATATATACACGTACATATGTATACTCCTAACTACCATTATGTTCCACCACTTATTATCGAAATTAAAAAGCACCATACTGCCCCTTAAGCACATCTTATTAACCATTTTTCACTTAAAGTACTAAACATTTTCCGCAGATGCGGTTTTTTTTGCCATTTTTGTTGGCCATTTGTGAGTAGATTACAATTTTATTATTTTACTTTGCTACTCCCGCTGCGCGATGTTGTAATGGCAAACAGCGCAAGGACATTTAGCTAGCTTGCATTTAGGCAGATACATATTCATACATAAAAGCATATATATATTTGAATACTGCGATATACTTTAGACCGTGCCACCTTAAAAATAAAAAAAAATAAAAATAGCCGTACATCCCTGGGTCTTAAGTATTTTTACACTGTAATTAAAATTATGAAATTACTTTATTTTAATATTTAAATAGGAAATGCGCTGAGTTCCGACTAAAAATTCATTAAATCTAATTCTATGAAGTGTTGGCTTTAAGTTAAAAATATACTCTTTTTGCGCGCTTTTGCGACACCCATACAATTATTTTCACTTTTCAGAACGGTTTCTTCAATATCGCGGCAACAACCCCAAAAATCTCCTTGTAACAAGTTTCGAGCGAATTCAATCAATTTTGAAAAATTTCTCCGCCATATTGGATCCGCCATATTGGATTTTTGAAACCTGACTGACGATTTGTAATCAGTGGTCCCATAAACTACATAGTGGATACGAAGTAGTGTAGAAATCCATCAAAGCAAACCTGTTTAAATAGTTTTGTCCCGCTAGATTCTCTATTCAGACTACTGTGCGTGGGTAAAAAAAATTCAAATTTCCTTCTCATCAAAATACATACTTATCAAAATTTCAAAGATTCTTGGTATATATGTAAGTATAAGTGGTATAAGTATTAGTACCCCATTTATTTAACTCTGGTAAAAATTGTCTCCTCGAGAAAAAAAGTGGATATATCATACTTTAAGATCCGACCGTAACTGCCGTAGATATAACGGAAAATTTAAAAAGGCGACGTAAAAACATTTTTTTCCCCGAAAATTTCTTGCAAAATTACTCAGAGGTTTGCGGCCAACATTTTTTTTTTTTTTTGGTACGGTCTAATGTACATATGCATGTATATATCCATGTAGATTGTATCTTTTAGTAGAGCCATCACTATCATTTTCACATTTTCTCTTCCTCCATTTCCCACCCCTCCCCCATATTCTCCTCATTCTTCTTCTTATTTTTCTCTTCCCTAACTTTCTTTCATGCTGCATTCTACGAAGTATAAATTCCAAGCGACCAAATTGAAATCGCTTCTGAAAATTTCAACAAGTAATATGGTGACATCAACACCACCAAATGGTGAAGCTGCAAGTGACGTCAATTGGCAACGAACTGAGGGAGGAAACAACGGCCAAAGCAACGTCCAGAGCGAAAGCAGCATTGACGATATCTATGGCATTTATGGCGTGAAACGTCAAGCAGCAGGGGACCGAAAAGTACTAAGCGATACAAAAGAAAAAGCATTGGTCACAGCTGCTGCCGCTGCTGCCGCTGCTGCCCTAACAAATAATGCATCAACCGCTGCAACCATTCCCACAGAAATGCCGCTTGAGGTGAACGCTGTGGTCAATGCCTGACGATATGAGTGACATGCTGGCAGCGAACTTTTGCCCCAATTGGCTGAAACTACTATAGAAAATCCCAGCAGAAGCACTACTTGTAGAAACAATAACAACAACAACAAAGTCGACGAAAGTGAAATTAAAAACAACACTCAAAATAAAAGTGAAGAAAATGCAGAAAATTGCACAGAGGCAGAGTGGAAGGAAGGAGTTGGAGGTAATGGTGGTGGTGGTGGTGGTGGTGGTGGTGGTTTGGAAGGCGGTAAATCAACAACCAGTACGAGCTTCAGCAATAGCAGAAAGAATGGCACCCGGAGCAATAGCAGTGTCAGTGAGGAGGAGGAGGACGACAGCTGTTGTAGGCTAGGCGCTTGTATGCCCCTAGCAAATTGGGTAACTTGGCCAACATAGCTGCACGCGCTGGCTGAGAAGTTCAATATTCGTTGGAATGTGGCAAAATTGTAAGGGAATAAATAATTACCAAGAAGCAATAAAACGGACAGTTGTAGTGTGTGTGTCTTTGTCTCTGAGAATACAGGCCGTGGGGCAGTGAAATTGTTAACTAAAATGTAGCAGGATGTGGCTGGCAAATTGGTATGGCAAGTGCTAGCTGGTGGTTACGGAAGTGGTTTGGCGAAATATTTATGTTTTATAAATACAATTGTGTCGGCAGCGTTTGGTTTTTGTGCCAACTCAATTTGGTTTTTAATGTAGTTGTTTTTGTATGTATGTATGTATAAATTGCTTATCTCGCTTGCTACCGTGCTTGCACATTTTTTTCTGTTTTAATTGCGAAAATGAAAATAAAGATAAGAAACTTGGTAAAAATAAAGCATTTTCTTTGGTTCTTTGTTTACCCTTTTTTGCTTCGTTGTGGGCAATGGAACACAAAATGATTTAGGCGGCTATAGCGCCACTTCAGAAGGAGGACAATGAAAAGGTTTGTAACTAAATGAGAAAAAACTACTAAGCATGGTTAGAAATATTTGTAATTATTTTTTATATATCTTAAAGAAGTAAAAAAGGAGCAAAAAGAGGAAAAGCACAAGAAAGCAAAATAATGGTAATAAATATTCAAATTAAATTAAAACAAAAAGCTGGATGGACTAGTTATTTTGGGAAAACAAATACATTTAAACGTAAGGATAATTGGTATAGGCGCCTAATTTGTAGAGAAGAATTTGCTCTTTTCGAGAGACTGCAAATAAGTTACAAACTTTTTATGAAGGCTTTTCCTGTGGAAGGAAGGCAAAGCCAAATGAAGTTCCGCAAGGGGTTGCAGTTATTCAAACGCTATGTTGAATGTAGCATTTCTAGATATTTGGTTAGGTTAGAGCGCACTTGGTTCAATCTATGCCCGGTCCAGAGAAGCTCAAAAATTCTTTGGAACATTGAGTGAATTTAGTAAAATGAGTGAATGAGGTCCCGTATAAGCAAAGCACCTCCAATTAACGCATTTACAGAAGCGTCGTAGAGTTTTTTTCTTTTCGCAAAGCTTCTTAAATATCGGACACTTACTGCAGACATTCCAAGCATTATTACTGGCTAAAAATAATATCGATATATTATGGAGCGCACAGTGGTGCAAACGCGAAATTTACTATTCAAACAGTTTTACAGCTTGCAATTTTTGCCGGATGTTAAAGGTTTTTTTTTGAATGACAGAGGCTTAAAGAGCCACTTTGTTAAATTTTTATTTGCTTATATAAAATTTTTCTGCATTAAAAGTTATTGAGATAGTAGCAATTCTGAAGAAAATCGATTCTCCTGTTTCTGTTAATAAATGTTAAATTATAAAAAGAGGTTGAATACATTTCTAAAGCAAAAAAAAAATAAAAAAAATTTTAATGTTAAAAAAAATTTTCACTGAAATAATTTTTTTTTTGCCTAAATTTCGAGCACATTTTACATATGGGGAAGAACATGCTTAGCACCGTCAGCGTTTGCGCCACTATGGGGCTTGGTGGGTGGCTTACGAACTGAATCTTTTATTCTCGAAGTGTTCGTGGTAGAGTACTGGAACGATTAGGTAGATCCTTGCTATGTCAGATACCAAAAAATTAGCATTATGTCTATTTAGGCACAGTAGTAAGCCAGTCAATGCCATCTTTCGTTCACTACTTTAGTAACTCGCTCAGAAATAAGTAGCTTGCAAGTTTGTAAGGCTATTCCTTTTTCATTATTTACATTCTCAATAGGTAGCTTGGCGCCATATATCAGCACTTCATCGGCCTTACAATTCCCTTCTAAGTCGCAGTATACCGTAACGCATATAGCCTTTGGGCGAAATAACTCAGCCATCGCAGCAGGGTTCGGAAGCGCATAGTCCACCAATCCAAACTCCCTTAATTAACATTAATATTCTACGATGCAGGAAAGTTTTAAAATTCCATAAGTTTGAAGGCTTAAGTATATTAACCCGCTTAAAAAATAAAGACAGGTATAGCTAATTGAGAGTAGAACAACAGGAGTGTTCGCTATGCACAAAATTTGTACAAAAACCTAGTAAAACTTGCAAGGAGAGAGCACAATTTTGACATTTCATTTGGAGGGGAAGTTGCAAATTCGTGCTGGGAAAATTTTTGCCAGTAAGAATTTGCAAGCCGGATTGTGGCGCACGGTTGCACTTTTATCAACATTAATTTGAATCAAGAAGTTCGTTAAATTTAAAAATGAACAATCTTGTTAGGATTTACTAATGAAAGAAGTAGGTAAATATTCATTTATTAAATTAATTTAATTAATTCCAAACATTTGAAAGATCCTCCGCTGAAAAAGCTGTATTCGTAATCGGAGCGCACTCGATACCACTGTCGATATAGGAAATCCGACAGTGACTTCCACAAAGAAATCGAAGCGTATGTTTGAAGAAAGTCAGAATAAGAAGCAATATACGTATAGGTCCTGTTTTGGTTTCTACCTGAAATAATTTAAAAAAATTATTATGTTCGAAATGCAACCGTGGACGCCAGCTGGCAGTGAAGCTTGCAAATGTTTGATAATTCCTGTTCGCGCAAAACTTAGTAAGTTTCTCTCTTTGGGAGAGTAAAGTACCTTAT